GCGGGCGGGCGTGTAAGTTCCCTGGTCTAGTGGTTAGGATCTGGCACTTTCAGTACGGCGGCCGGGGTTCAATCCCTGGTCGCGGAACTGAGGCAGCCAAAAAAAAAAAAAAGAAACACTCAGGGGGAAAATATATTTTTTAAATTAAAAGAATATGTGTATACGTATTCACAACCTAATAGTTCTCATTCTGTCCACTGCCAACATCTCGGTCCAGCCGCCGTTATTTCCTGCCTGGACTACTGAAGTCAACTCCTCACTGGACTCCCAATTCCACCTTCACCCCCTGTCAGTTTGTCCACACACACGGCCAGAGGGACCCTGTTAACGCCTGAGTCAGATCACATCCCTCCTCTGCGCGGAGCCCTCCCCCTGGCTTCTGTCTTGCTCAGAGTCAAAGCCAAAGTCCTCACCACAGCCCGCAAGGCCCTGAATGCTCCAGATCCCGCCAGCACCCTCGCCGAGCGCGGCGCTTACCCTCTCCACCCGGCCACACTGGCCTCCTCGCTGGGCCTCAGGCACGCCTGGCGCGGCCCCTTGGTGGGCCCTGGTACTTGCGGTTCCCTCTGCCTGTACCTCCTCTCCCCTTCCCTGACCACCCTGCCTTCAAGATCTACCCCCCAGCCCCCTCCGTCCAAACGGGCTTCCTCATTCTTTGTCGCACACACCACTCCTGCACATGACGTCTATTTTTCTGCTTTGGTCTTTCTCCCTGCGAGATGGTCACTCCCCACAGGCAGTGACCTTGCTTTCTTCACACTGCTGTGCCCCTAGCTCCTGAACACTAAGTGGCACAGGGACCAGGCTCCTTAAATACTGTTTCTGCTGGAATGAATGGAGTGGAGAGTGAGCTCCCAGGCCTGCTTATCTGGGTGACCTCAAGCAAGAAACAGTTTCCTCTTCCATTGCGTGGAGGAATGGCACCAATGGCTGGCCACCTTGCCTTGTTATCAGGATTCAACAGGCTCATGCAGGACGGGGCCTGTTATGTACTAGGTTCTCCATAAAAGTTACAGTTGAATACCGACTGTATTAATATATCAGTATTACTGTGTGACCTAGGGTAAGTTGCTTAAACGGTCTGTGCCTCAGTTTCCCCATCTATAAAATGGGGGTGATAAGAGGACCAACCTGACAGGGTTGTCACGGGGACTAAATGACCTAACAAACGTGCAAGTTAAGCACTGGCCTGGAACATATTACATGCCACTGCACTGAGGTGTTTGGGGTTTTTTTTGTTTTTTTTGTTGTTGTTGGTTTGGGGGTTTTTTTGTTTGTTTTTTGGGGGTTTGTTTTTATTCAAGTATAGTTGGTTTACGATGTTGTGTTAGTTTCAGGTGCACAGCAAACCGATTCAGTTATACATATATATGTGTATATATATATATTCTTTTTCAGATTCTTTTCTCTTATAGGTTATTACAGAATATTGAGTAGAGTTCCCTGTGCTACACAGTAGGTCCTTGTTATCTGTTTTACATATAGTAGTGTGGTGATATGTTAATCCCAAACTCTTAATTCACTCTCCCCGGCCACTGCACTGCTGTTGATTGCATGTAGGGAGATGCAGGCTTTGTGAGTAGGAGGAGAGAGAGAGAGAAGGACCTAAGTTTCAGGCAGCTGCACCCCTCCCCTCCCTGTGGCTCAGTCCCCTCTTCTCTAAAGTGATTAACTGAAGTGACTGACACGCATCAGGCACCCAGCGTCCCATCCCAGGGCCACTCACCATACAGGGGTGATTGGGATTGTCCTTTTTCTTGTGAGGCTCTTCCTGTCTCTGCAGCTCAACTGTCAGCTCCTTCCAAGAAAGGATCCTGCAGAGCAATGGACCAGGGCTTCTCAACTTTGGCACTATTGACAGTTGGGCCTGGACCATTCTTTGTCGCGTTGTAAGGTGCTGTCCTGTGCATAGGTGTAGGGTTTGGGCAGCATCCCTGGCCTCTACACGCTAGATGCAGGAGCGTCCCCCACCCTTACCTCAAGCTGCGACAACCAAAAACGTCTCCACTGGTGAATACTTTGGCAGGAGAACTACAACCCAATAAAGCCATTTTTTTAAAAAGAAGATCTCCGTCTATTGCCAAATGTCCTCTGGGGGACAAAAAAAAATCATCTCTGGTTCAGAACCACTGATGCAGACAAACAGATGGACAGTGGGTAACAATGACTACTGAACACATGAACATATTCACAGCCTCACGGACACTCAAAGAGGGGCAGTTTGACAGTCTCCACGAAAACTGCAAACAGGGACCTCCCTGGCAGTCCAGTGGTTAGGACTCGGCGCTTCCACTGCTGGAGGCCTGGGTTCGATCCCTGGTTGGGGAACAAAGATCCCACAAGACGTGTGGCACGGCCTAAAACCAACCAAACAAACAAAAAAACTGCAAACGCACATGGGTCATTCAGCCCATGGAGGGCCCGGGGTGGAGACTTTTAGCTGTCTACCTTTTTTTACCTTTTAAATTCTGTTTGAATTTGGATCCGTTTTGAATCTGAATAACCTTTTCAAAAGAATTTTGAAATTCTAGTTTTAAAAAGGAAGGGACATATCAGAATGCTTCCACGTCCCTTAAAAAATGTTAGATCCTCCTTCAGGAATCTGAACTCCCTCTCCTAGCCTTACTGTCATGCACTCCCCAAACCTCTTTCTGTCCCTGACCTGGATCTTTCCCAGGTCCTTTGTAACTACCTGCCAAGTCCTCCTGATAGGACACCCCCGCTGCTGGCCCAAATCTTATTAGCAGAACATATAGCAAAGGTCAGCAAATCTCCTTTGTAAAGGGCCCAATGGTAAATATTTTAGGCTTCAAGGGCCTGTCTCTGTCTCTGTCACAACTACTCAACTCTGCCAGAGTAGGAGGAAAGTGGCCAGACAATACAGAAACACGTGGAAACATGGCGGTGCTCCAATAAAACCTTACTTATTGGGACACTGATATTGAATTTTATATACTTTCATGCGCCACAAAAGATTTTTTTAGTTTTTCAACCACTTAAAAACGGAAAACCCACTCTTAGCTCTTGAGCCATATGAGAACCTGCGGCAGGCCACAGCTCACCACCTGGCATAGGGGATGAGGGTGTGGTCTGGGGGAGAGCGGGTGGGTCCCAGCCCTCCCAGATTCACTACAAGGGGTCTGGGCAGATCACTGCAACTCTAGGAACAGCCTCCCTGATCCGGTTCCTCATCCGTGAAATGAAACGTTAAAAAAAGACCTCCTAGGGCTGTCAGGAAGATCTTTCAGGGGGAGGTTGCTGATCACACAGGCAAAGGACATCCGCAGTATCCTGGACTCTTCACTTTCTCTCCCACCCACATCCAATCCTTCAGTCAAGTTTGTCAGCTCCACCCTCAAAAATGCATCCAGAATCTGGGAACTTCTCACCATCCCTACTCTGACCCTTCCTTGGTCTAGCCACCATCACCTCCCACCTGGACTATTTCAGTAGCCTCCCCACTGGGCTCCTGGCCTCCACCTTCACCCCAGTCTGTTCCCCAACACAGCTGTCAGAGGGATCTTCCTCTAAGTCTGATCACACCCCTCCTCTGCTCAGAGGCCTCCCATGGCTCCTATCCCACCCAGCGCAAAAGCAAGAGTCCTCACGATGGCTACAAGGCCCTATCACCTCTCTGACCTCATCTCCCACCCTTCTACCCTTTGGTCACCGGTGTCAGTCCCTGAAAATGCCAAGCACATTCCTGCCTCAGGGCCTTTGCACGTGCTGTTCCTACTGCCTGGAACCCTCTTCCATTTGGGAGACATATATATATTTCCAGATACATGACTCACCTTCCTCCCTTACTTCATTCAGCTCGCTGCTCAAACATCATCTTTACAGGGAGGAAAATAATAGCCCTTTCACCCTGCAGTATCTTTTTTTCCCACAGCACTATCACCTCCTGACAATATGCATTTACTTGTATGCCTATGTGCTGTCTGTTCTGCCACAGAACATAAACCTTCGAGAGCAGGGACATATCTGATTACTTCACAGCTCCATCCCCAGCCCTAATTAGGGCCTGGCAACCAGGGGGGGACTCAGTAAACATTTGTGGAAGGATTCACTCCCCCTGTTACCTGAGTGCCTGCTCTGTGCCTGGCCCATGCTGGGTGGTGCTAGAGACACAGCTGGGAGTGAAAGAGCCCAGCCCTGCCCTCCTGGGCTCACAGACCAGTGGATGACACACACTAGGTCTCCAGACAATGACAACCCAGAGTGGGCAGGGCTGGAATGAAGGAGCCCGTGGGGCCTCAGGAGCCCACAGCAGACACCTGGCCCTGCTTGGGGGATAAGAGGTGGTTTCCAGGAAGGGGCTCAGGAAAGATCTCTCTGATAAGGTTACTTTGGAGCAAAGACCAGAATGAAATGAGGAATTGAGCCATGTGGAGATCTGGGGGGAAAGCATTGTAGTTCGAGGGAGCAGCAAATGCAAAGCCCATGGAAGGGAGACTGAGGCACAGCAAGGAGGCCAGTATGCAGGGGGCTGGGGCAAGGGCAGAATGTGCAGGGGCTTGAGGACTTGGGTCTCGCCGGGGGCTGGTTCTGAGCAGAGGAGGGGCAGGGTCTGACTTGCGGTAATCACGGGATCCCTCTGCCTGCTGCAAGGAAGAATGGACTGTGAGAGCAAAGGGAGAAGCAGACAGCCTGGTGAGGAAGCCACTGCAGTGGGCGGTGTGGAAGATGACAGGTGTCTGGGACGGCAGTGGGGGGGGGGGGGGGGGGGGGGAAGTCAGGAAAAGGGGGGGGGGGCGGTGGGGAGAAGTGATTGGATTAGGCTATCTTTTGAGGGTTGAGAGCCCTCACTATTTGCTAATGGACTGAGCAAAGCCGAGGAAGACTCCCGGGTCTTTGCCTGATGGGCAAGACCACAGTGAATGGAATTAATGGGATTGCTACATTTTCATTCTCTCACCACTACTGGCTGTGAATGAGATTTAGGGATATATACATTTTCTAATGTATCTGACCACTGCATTCCCAGTTTAGTCAAGGGTCATCAGCTCCCAGGGCTTTCTCTCCCAACCTAGGTTAACACTTAAGTATTTCAGGAGAAGAAACACTCTCCTCTTTAGGGCTAGTACTTAATGAAGGACTGATGGGAATTATGCAAGTGGTCAAAGAGTTATGTTCAATCCCTGGATAAAACAAAATTAAACATGTTTAATTACATGACTAATTAAACATGTTAGTCATGTTTTCTCCATTAGGGAGGAAACAAAAAAGATTTGGTCATACCTGCACAAGCCCCATTTTCCCGAAGAGGAAATGGAAGCTGGACGATGCCAAATCATTGAGTGGGTGCAAGCTTGTGATTGGCAGGAAAAGGGAGCAAATCCAGGCTGGTCTGATAACAGAGTCAGGGCCATCACCCCTGCCCTATGCAAAAGGGCAGTTTTTTTCAGCCAGCATAGGGGAGCCGTTGGAGGTTTGGGAGTCAAGGTGTGACCTGATAAGAAACTGGTTTGAGAAAGGTCACGTAGGGTGTGCCCAAGACAGCAAAAGCAGGTATTATCCATTCTCCCTGGTGACCAAGCCTGAGAGTCCTTTATCCTGTCAGTCTCCAAGCCAAGGATTTCCTGCCCAGGTTTCAGGAAAAAATGTCCAAACCCCTTTCCCACTAGAAAAACTAAAGTGCCCATCGCTTTGGTCAATGGCAGGGCCAGGAGATTCACAGACTTCCATCCCCGGGGCCTCAGTGCTCATTTTCTAGAAAATGGGAACGATCCGTTCAGTGGACAAACTAACCCTTCAGTTGCCAGGTAGAGAACCAGCTGAGTTACCAGCTTAACCGAGATACTGACCAGCCTACACCCACCTCATGGGTGGGCCCTGTCTGGATGCAAATTAGTTAAATGGGCCACACACACACACACACACACACACACCCCGTGAGGCTCGGGACCCCAAATGCAGAATCCCACCCCCCCCCAACCTCCGCCCACTGGGCCGGTCAGTTTCCTTTCAATTACGCCCTGGCCACTCATCGCTCTCCTTTTCTTACACTAAGTAGGTCCTCCTGGCCCTCAGGCGTCCACTCCCCACTCTGCCCTGGGCTGGACGTTCTTCCCACCTCCCGGCTCAGATTAGGCGAGCGATTCCACTCCAGGAAAGGCGGGAGTCTCGAGACTGCAGCCGTTATTACTGTTATAATATCGTCGTCGTTATTGTTTTCCCGAGGGGATGCATTCCGCCCCCACCTCCACCCCGGGCGCAGGAGTGTGTGCGCTGCTGCGTTCGGAACCAGAGTCCCGGGTGCAGGCGTTCGGGGACCAGAACGTCCCAGCAGCCGGCGTTGCAGGCGCGGACTTGACTCTTGCCGCCACTCCCGGTCTTGCACGCGGGTGGGCGTCCCGGGCCGGTGCCGGGCAACGGGAAAGTGCTCGCGACCCACCAGCAACAATCCCGCACTCACCGAGGTCTGCAGCGGCTGGAGCCCCCACTTCCGCCGGCGCCCCAGCTGCAGAGGCCCGGGCGGGCCGCGAGCCGCCGAGCCTGGGTTCCGCCCGCGCCGCCACCGCCCCACGTGGTCTCGGGCGGGCTCGCGGGCTCGGAAGCCAGCACAGACCCGGGCGCCACCCTGCCAGGGGCTTGGCCCAGCGCTTAGAGCTGATCCACCAGTCTGCGAGGTGGGGGACGTCCAGGATACCCATTTTACAGAAGAAGAAATTGAGGCGCCTCCCGTCTGAGTTAAGTGCAGATTGGACTTGGCACCCCCCATCCCCCTACACGTGCACACTCCTACCCCTCACCTCCAGTCCGAACCCCACCTTCCCTACTTGATCATGCTCTCAGCAGCCACGCACCAGGCAAAAAGCCTTGGAGAGCAGCAGCTGGGAGAGACCAGAGGCGGTCATTCCTGCAGCCCTCCCCGCAGCCCCATCTTACACGGGGGGAAACTGAGGTCCTGAAAGGCAAAATGTATGGCCTGAGGTGGAAACGCGCTGCTGTGGGCTCAGAATTCATTTGTTCCACACGGTTTCAGTAAGGCAGGGCCTTGTGGGCCTTGGCTTCCCGGCGGACCCCCAAGACCCGGTGCCTGGTACGCAGACCCTCTGCAAACATCTATTGAAAGAACGCACATAGCAGGAGCTCAATACACAGTTTGTTAACTGAACTATGAACGATTCGGGGCTCTATTTGTGAACAAGACAGACTTGGCTCCTGCCATCTCAGAACCTACATTCTAGGGAGGCTGAGAGGGACACCACAGTTTATCACATGAACAAATACATCGACAAGATCCTTCAGGGCTTGACAAGGATGTAAAAGGACTAAAATAAGGGCAATGGGATAATGGGTGGCAGGGTTGGGGGAGGTTGGGTGGTCAGGGGAGGTGGCACTGAAGAAGCCACCTTAGGTAACAGATGGGAAACCTGAGGCCCAGGAGGGAACTGGGGACAGATGGAGGTCATGGAGTGTAAATTGTAAGGCCTTCAGCAGGGTGGGGCTCCTTTAGATCCTGTGGTCAGGGAGGTCCTCTGCTCTCAGGAGGACAATTGAGCTGAGACCTGAATAACAATATGAGGAACCCTCAGGCCTGCAGTGGAGATTAGCATGTGAAATTCCCTCAGTGCTGGGCTTGGGGACACGGCAGGGGCGGACTGACCCTGGCCCTGACCTCAGGGGTTTTGTGTTGGGGGAAGGGGTGAGAGGACAGTAAACAAACAGTTCTAGATCTGATGTGGTTGGTGCCAGGAAGAAAAGAAAACTTGCAGGGTTGAAGGGTGGGGCAGGGTGTTGATGCCACTTCAAACAGTGATCAGAGAGAGCAGCTTTGAGGAGGGAAGTTTGAGGAGGCCCCATCCGAGGGAGGCAAGACAGTTGGCTATTTGGTTTTAAAGATGATCTCAGGTCTAAGAGCAGAGTCAATGTATATGATCACGACCCTCCTCTGCTCAAAACCTTCCCAGGGCTTTCATCTCAGAAAAGCCAAAGACTTTAAAGTGGTCAAAAGACGCCCTTGGAGCTGACCTCGTTTTCTCACAGAACTCAATCAATACAGAACTTAATCACTACAGAACTCCTAGAATACGCAGGCCCGGCATGGGGAGAAAATTGAGGCCCACCCGTCACCCCAGTAATCCTGTCCCTTTATAACCCTTCCTGGATTTTTTTTTTTTCTCCATGACAGGTGTCACGGAAGGCACTCTGTATTTTACATAGTTATCTTGTTGAGAGTCCTGTCTCCCTGAACGAATAAACTGCATGAGGCCAGGGTCATTCTGTTTTGTACCCTGCTGCATCCCCAGTACTTGGTCCAGAACCTGGTGCATAGTAGGCGCTCAACCAATGTTTGCCCAAGGAACTTTTATTGTAATGCTTTTAATGGAACAGACCAGATTACTCTCAGGCGCCTAGGTAGAAACGTGGCCCCTACCATTTTCTCGCTTGGGGGTGTGTGTGGGCACCTTGTGCCTCAGTTTCCACCAGCGCGAAAACGGGATCAGGATTAGCTGTTTCTATGCGTGGCTGTGTGAACTCGTTATGGTTAAGATTTGATCACTTAGAGAAACGCAGGGGGCATGGTCCAGATTAAGTTTGGCTGAGGGTGGGGCAGTCCTCTCGCGTCAGGCCCCGCCTCGGTGGGCGGAGCCACGGGCCGGGCCAGCACGTGTAAGAGTTCGCCGCGGGTCGCCGCAGTCACTCACCTGGGCGCCTCGGTGTGAGCGCGCGCGGCTCGCGAGTC